CCATCCCTGCATGCTGTGCATGACAACCTGCTGCTGCCTGAGTCCAAACGCTGCCTGAAGCAGACTGGCTGTTTGGGAACCAGCTCACCCCGTGCTTTAGATCCTTCTCCAGTACCTCAAACAAATGGGCTGATGGGTGTCAGCTATGGGTATGTGGAAGGCTCTGCTGCCCTGCTCCTCGCTGGAGCCAGCAGATTGCCTGGGCCAGCAGAGAAGGGCTGTGCTGGAAGGGACCTCCCCGGCCACCTGCCTTTATGGGAAGGCACATCCTGTAACTCGCAGCCAGCAGAGAGAGGCAGGGGCCAAATCCCAGGCGGTGGCAAAAGGAGCTGGGTCTGCCTGTCACAGCGAGCTCCAAATAGCGAGCAAAAAAGCCTCTCTGTGCTTCATAAGACATTGTGCTGAGGTCTCCTGCTAGAGCCCCCGCTCCCTGAAATAATCCCTTCCACACAGAGGATGCAAGAAAAATAGATCAGTTGTAGCTTAAAATAGATAAAATCTGATGAGGAGACAGTCAAAGCATTTCTTTGTTCAGTAACATGGGAGGAGGCGTCACGGCCCCCAGCAGCTCCTGTATCTTGTCCAGCTGAGAAGACTCGTGGCTCCTCCAGGGCTACCCGGCTCAAACTGCAACATGGTCCCTGCTCCAGGCCTGTTGGCCCCTCTGGATTAGCTCCCTGGGGGCAATTCCAGACAAACCTGTGCCAGGATGAGCAGGGCCTTGCTGAGGTGGCAGGAGCCACGCGAGAACCTCTGCACCGAGGTGGCCACCACCACCGGAGGCGAAGGGAGGTGGAAGACACGGAGCCCTGGCTGCTCTTCCCCTTTAAACTGTAGCTTGACTGAGAGTTTCCAGTTAAGGAACTGGAGTATTATCTGGAGTATTGTGTCCGGTTCTGGGCTCCACAGTACAAGAGGGATGTGGAGCTGCTGGAGAGAGTCCAGCGCAGGGCTACGAGGATGATCAGGGGCCTGGAACATCTGCCCTATGAGGAGAGGCTGAGGGAGCTGGGCCTGTTCAGCCTGGAGAAGAGAAGGCTGAGAGGGGATCTAATCAGTGTATATAAATACCTCAAGGGAGGGAGTGCAGAGGACAGTGATGGTCTCTTTTCAGTGGTGGCCACCGACAGAACTAGAGGAAATGGCCGGAAACTGAAACAATCCCAGACAAACCTGTGGCAGGATGAGCAGGGCCTTGCTGAGGTGGCAGGAGCCACGCGAGAACCTCTGCACCGAGGTGGCCACCGCCACCGGAGGTGAAGGGAGGTGGAGGATGCGGAGCCCTGGCTGCTCTTCCCCTCTAAACTGTAGCTTGACGGAGAGTTTCCAGTCAAGGAGCTGCAGTTACTGCTTCAGCAGCAGCGCTGGCAGCCGGAGGGAGCAGCTGCATCCTGGGAGGAAAGCGGCCGTTCCCCGCGGTGCCGTCAGGGACTGGCGCGTGCTGGAGCGAGCAGCCTGTTTGCCAGCCCTGTCCCTCGGCAGCGGCGAGGGGAGAGCGGGCACGGGGACATCCAGCTGCCGGACACCTGCAGAGCCTTCCTGTTTGCAGGGCCCCGGCCGGGTTCTGCGGAGGGGGAGATGTTGTATCTGCTTCGTGGAGAGGGTCCGAGCGTCAGTCTTGCTTTGACTTCCTGATGTCTGCTTCATAGCCACCTTTTAGCCATCACCATTTAACTAACGCCCTTTAGCACAGAGAGAGCCCTCAACTGGCCTTGGGATGGGACATTCTTCTCTGTATTGAGAAAAAAAAAAAAGACGAAAGTGCAAATGTTGGAGAGAAACGTAGGGGAACTTTCACATGCTCTAAGTCTAGAGGTGCAGAGAGGGGCTCCAGGGGAGCTGCACAGCAGTGCCCTGCAGCAGCAGCCTTGTGCATGTGCTGACTGGGACAACTGTCCCCATGTCCCTCTGTGCGACATTGTCCCCGACAGTCTGTCTGGAGAGGACAGCTACGATGGGCAGTGCTGGTGTCAGGCCTAGGCGCACTCCTACAGCAGGCAGTGCCGGTCAGGGGGTGGCACGGGCTCCTCACGCCGCGGGAATGGAAAAGCCTCTTCATCCTCATGCTCTGGTTGCGCAAGGGTAGGAGCTTCTTGGCTTGATGCATCTCTCTCCAGCTGCCATTCCATGACCAGCAGCGACCACGTGCGGGACCAAGGAGTTGAAATCCAGCCAGAGAGCCTTGGTTTCCCCAAGTCTTGTGGCTCTTGTTCAGTGTTACAGGTGCATGTGGATCCTGCTGAGCCAACCATGCACTCGGTGCCGAAAAGGGGGAACGGAGGGGAGCGCAGGGGGGTGTTGCTGGCGGTTCTGCCCCGCGCCGCCCTGAGCCCCGTCCCGTCTCTTGCAGGCGGAGCACGAGCTGCGGCTCACGCAGAGCGAGTTCGACCGGCAGGCGGAGGTGACGCGGCTGCTGCTGGAGGGCATCCACAGCACCCACGTGAGTCTGCGCGGGCCGGGCCGCACGCGCTGCGCCCGCTCCTTGCTAGAAGGACGCCAGGAAGATGGTGAGACCTGAGCTGGGAGGTGGAAGGGCCAAATTTGCATTACAGCCTTCTGGCACGCTCTGGGTAGCTCAAAGAGGAGGCATGGGGCGTGCACAAGCGGGGCAAGCGCAATGCCAGCAGTTCCGCAGTCCTCACAGCATTTCCGAGCTGGAAGAACCTTGTTCTTCCCTCACTAGAGCTGCGGACTAGCCCCACAAGCCCTACCAGGGCAGCAGGAGAAGCCCCTGTCTCAGGTCACCCTAGGCCTACGTGGCATCCCCAGACTTGACAAAGCCAGACCAATGTTGGCTTGCCTACATTAAGTAATAAATACTTAATGCATTTAAATACAAAATACTGGCCTGCCTGGGTCTGCTTCCTCTGGGAGGGGCAGTGGCTGCAGGAGGAGGGTTGCGGTGCCCCAGCTCCCAAACTCTCACAGCAGCTAACGGCCTTTCTGCTTCCAGGTGAATCATCTTCGCTGTCTCCATGAGTTTGTGGAGTCTCAAACCAACTACTATGCTCAGTGTTACCAGTACATGCTGGACCTGCAGAAGCAACTGGGCAGGTGAGACAAGGCAGTGCTCTTCCTTCCCTAAGGGTTCGTTCTCTCATCCACTTCCATTAGTTTAGACCTATCCCCATCCCTTGAAAGCCCTGTCCAAGCTCTGCTGAGAGCTCCTGAGCTTAGGGAATGGTGACGGTTCTTTTACTGCAGCTTTTAGAGCCGCAGGATTGATCTGGTTTTGATGTGTCTGTTTAAACACGTGAAGGCAACACAGCCAGACCATTCTTCCTCTAAATTAAATCATGTTGAAAACAAATCCCTGCTGCCAAGCAGCAAGTCTGGGCGCTCGGTGGCAGCAGTAACGGGTGCTGTGCACGGGCTGCACGTCCCCTGGGGGGAAATAGAGCTGTTCTGTCTGCTACCAGTTACATCAACCTGGCAATTGTACCGTTACCTTTGAGATCGCTCACTGCTCCTCTTGCTTTTCTTTCCATGCTTGCAGTTCCAAAGGAGAAATGTAAGTAGGATGTCACACAGAACGGTCCCTGAGAGCTCTTTTCCCCTCAGCCCCCTCGCAAGGGCCAGCAAGGCGTGCAGCCACGTTCCACTAGTCCAGATAAGCAAAACCTGACACTGTCACCACCTCTACTTAGAGCCCACCCAGCCCAGGAGCCTCCAGGCACCATGTGCAGCTCAGCAGCCAACGCTGGTCCCTGTCCTGAGGAACTGGTAGGACAGAGCACGTGAGAGCAGAGCCAGGACACACAAGGGACCCAGTTAGGGAGCTGCAGGGCCAAGAACAGCAGCCCCCTTCGAGGGCTGCCGCTTCTGCTCCGGATCTGCAGGGGCTCCTGTAGTGGGGCCTGACTGGGCAACTCACCAGCCGTGAGTTTGGTGCCAGGCCTGTGCCAGGATATTGGGAGATAATAAAGCAAATAGTGATTGTTGGACAGTCTCAGGGCCTGAGAACTAAGGCCTTTCCCCGAGTGAAGGGCAGCAGAGACCTGCTGTAACCAACAGCTGGAACTCTTCAGCATTATCTCCTCTGCAGTGTAGCCCTTTCCTGGTTGTACTCAGTGTTACTGACCTTTTTTCTCTTCCCCTTCCTCCTCTGCCCCGTGCAAGATTTTCAGGCACATTCGTAGGCAACCCAGAATCGACATCTCCTGCAGCTGCTCCCTCTCCTCCAGCCGTTGCCGCCACCACCGGCCCTGCTGTGCCCACCATCCCGGTTGTGCCCACGGTTGTTGGGGTGCCTAATGCTGTGGCAGAGGGGGTGCTGAACCCCAACGAGGTCAAGCCCCCTGCCAGCGGCACGCGCAGGGCCAGAGTCCTTTACGACTACGAAGCAGCTGACAGCAGTGAACTGGCGCTCCTTGCAGATGAGGTTGGTAGATGGTTTTTTTTTTTCTTTTAACGGCACATTTATTTCTTCTGGAGTCCGGCTCTATCCAGCTAGCAAAATACTCTGCTCAGTATCTAGTTTCTTCTTGAGGACTCTCAAACCTAAGCAGCTTATATGCAAGTGAAATGGGATGAGCTCCGGGCTAGAGGCCTGATCTTAATCACACTGAAAACAAAGGCAGTTCAGCAACTTCCAAGCTCTTTTGGTGGCTAGACTCAATTTCTGTTCTCAGAAGGGGTCCCACAGTACCACTAAGCCACCCTCTATCCAAGACCACCTTGGGCCACTTCAGAGAATGAAAAGGCAGCGGGAACATCGCTGGACAGACTCCTGTAGATCTTCTGGATTAGCTAGAAGTAGCTCCAGGGAGGCTGCAGGGAAAGGGTCGGCTAAATGAACTTCAGGAATTAACTTATTCTTTTAGTACGCATCTCACTGACTCTCTTGGCTGCACCTGCAGAGTAAGGTCCTGTCTAACGCTGTCTTCTCTCCCCAGATGATCACTGTGTACAGCCTGCCAGGCATGGACCCAGACTGGCTCATTGGTGAAAGAGGGAACCAGAAAGGAAAAGTTCCTGTCACTTACTTGGAACTGTTAAGTTAAAATGTCTCCAGGAAGAAGAATGTACAAGCAGAATGCACCCCTCATCTCCTGGCACTTCTAATGCGGATTTCTTCATCAGAGACCATTGCTCTCTTCAGGGTTGACACTCCATTGCTAACACAGGAATCGTGGGAAGGAAGTGATAAAACTGTTACGGGAGGGCTTGGGGAAAGGGCTAATGGCACCCGGGATTGAATTCACTACCTAGCAGTGCAGCCTTGAGGTTAATCTTGGCCATGCCAGATTCCTCCATTTCCTTCCTCTGCCCTAGTCTTGTTTATTGCAGTGGCATCCCCAGGGCCAGCAAACTGCCTCCCGCAGCTGCTGGCAGAGCGTGTGACACTTCCCTTGTGTTTGCTGTTGGTTAGTGCCTGTCTCCCCTCCCGTCCTCATTTGTCAGCAGTAGATTTGCCTGAATCAAATCACCAAGCATTCCAGTGGGGAAGCGCCCCACAAACCCTCTGACACATTCTAACTGTTGAGGAAAGGAAGCTGAAGGTCAGAGTTAAAGCCCGTTAACCAGAACGGTCTGGATGCCGGCGGGAGAGCAGTGCCGCGGGGCTGAGCGAGGCTCCCTGCGAGTGGTGCCTGATGGCTTCAGTGTAGAACGGAGCTGGGAGGCTGCGAGGAGACGTGACCGAGAAGACCAACCAAAAAACACAGGGCCTCTATGTCAAGAATGAAACCTGTGAAAGGGACCATGCATCTTGCTTGCATTTCCTCTGAGAAGCTGCTCTTGGACTGCAGAGTTTACAAGCCTTTTTACAAGCTTTGCTTCTTGTGTTAATTGTCCAGGCCCTTCTTTCAGCGTGTTTGTTCCAGGCTTATGTTTGAGCCTGACTTTATTTTCCCCCTAGATCACTGATTTCACTAATACTTCTCCCTCCCATCTCAGCAGTGAACAGACCTGGTGCATCCCAGTAGAGGATGGGGTAGTCCCACCTGCTCTTGTATCTCCACCAAAAGCCATCCTGGGTCTGGATGCAACGATGATTCTGCTTTTCCCAACCTCTTCCCGCTGAACAATCCGGGCTGCCCTTGGCATTTGTGGTGGTTTAGCTCCAGGGGGGAGCACTTGGGTGGTTTTGTCTTTTAATCCTATTAGGAGCTTCTGAGGACTCCAACTGCTGCATCACTAGTTTTCAACTCGAGCTGGGTTCAAGAGAAACACCCACCTGCACCAAGGTCTCTGTTCACTGCCCTCCTCTCGCTGTGGCAGACACTACCTTTGCTTGTTTAATGATCTTTTGCACTTTTCCCCACGGTATTGTGACCACTCTAATGTAACAGGGCACAGAGCACCTGTGTATGTAGGGCTCGTGGTTTTCAGCACTTATTTGCCAATAAACAAACTGCCTGACCTCCTGCTTCAGTGTCCGGGGGGGTTTGGTGCTGCTCTCTCTTTCCAGCCGCGTGGCTGCAGCTTGCACTGACCTAGCAGGGAGGGAAAGGGGTGCAGGTCAGGGGAGCTGGGCTGTACGCGTGGCCCAGGCTCCAAAGTTGCATAAAAGCCAATAAATTCCTTAATTATTCCCGTCCCAGCTCAAACACTCAGCATGCCTCGAACTTGCTAATGTTCAAACCCAAATTCTGTGTTTTGGGTGCACTACAGATTGATGAACAACAGCTCCTCCCTACTCTGAAGCAAAAATCGAGCGGCATTAGGGCTGTGCTGAGAGGCTGGGATTGCTGCTCTGGATTTAACAGCCCTTTTTGTTGTTATGGAAACTAGATCTGGTGCTAACTTAATTTTAAAGACTTCTGCCTAGCGCTCAGCTTGGAAAGAAGGCACGGAGGATCACCTGGGAAAAGATGCTGTTGAAATGCTCTGTAACGCAAGATTAGCTCCCTCTTTTTCTACAGCAAAAACTCAAAAGGGGAGTTAAATGACACTACTGTTTTAATTAGTTTTATAACTACCAAGACTACGGCTATCCCCGTTCTGCCCTTTCATCGCTTTCCGTCCCCTCCTCCAGTCCGAATCTCCCTGGGCTCTGCAGCATTGCTGCTACCCGTCTCCCTGGTGTGAGAGGGAGAGCAGCTTTAACAAAACCAGCAGCGAGTTAATGAGGCAGCAACTGGTGTCGCTTCCTTCAGACCAGCGAGGGGAAAATCCCTCCGGCAGCGACGCTCCTGCCCCTCCGCATCAGGAGGGGCACAAGGAAATCCCAGCGCTGCCTTTCACGGAGTCCTCGGATAACGGGCACCCCCCGGAGCTGCTTGGTTTCCTTGACCGCTTCCTGGTGAGCTCCTCCTCACTCCAAACAGCTTCACACCCTTCCCACCGCCGGGAGCGAGGGCAGACCCGGCCGGAGCGGCAGCGCGGGGGGAAACGCCGCTCTGGCCGTGAAGATGCAGCTCTGAAACACGGCGGCTCTGCCAGCGCCGGCTGCCTGGCGCCTACGGCCCCCTGCCTAGTCTGGTACCTGCAAATCTCACCTTAACACCCTCTGCTTAACCAAGTATTTGCCCCTAAATTCTCATTCTGTCCGTACTTCTTGATGAAGACAAAGTGACTAGCACAATGTATTTAACTTAGAAGCTGCCACACGGGAAAATAACTATGAAAGCTCTCAAATACCACTAGGTAGGACTGAACTTGATGAGAAGTGCTGAATTTTGTTTTTATTTCCCATGCCCATGGCTGCCCTTCATCAATTTGCTATCTTTTCTGCACAGTCCTTCATCTTCAATCTCCATGCTCACACATGTGAGCAGAAAGGGGCAGGTGTGACAGGCAGCCCCAGCTACCACGGCCCCCTCATGAGCACCAACATCTCAACAACATCCAGCTCATGCCTGCCACAACCTCCCTCTCCTTTTGAGCACCTCACCTGGGCTTAGGGAAGGCAACCGGGCTCCTCTCCCTTCTTCTTTAAGACCAAATTACTCGATCCAACTAGTTCAAATCTCTCTGAAACCTCCATGGCAACTAAATCTAGATCAGACAATTGTGCTAGTGTATAAGCTTAAAAGAAAAAACAATCTCAGTGCAATGCAATCTAAAACAATGTTTGTTTTTCCAATTTAGTCTCTTAAAACCATTACACATAAAAAGGTTCTGGCTGGAAAACAATCAGGTGTCTCTTTAGGAAAGAACTGGTAGGGTATGAGCTCACAGCTACAATGAAATTTTGATTTCCTACCTCAGAAAACCTGTCTAGACTTCAGAGCTCACACCAGGCTTTATTTTAAGCAGTAATAGCTGACCTTCCCTTGCTCTCTCCAGCATCCATCCAACCTTGGAACCTTGCAGTGTTCGATGATCAGCTGAGCACGACGCTGCTTCACTGTAATCAATTCCGACTCTTCCCTCTAGCTTGAACCTGCATCATTCCCAGATGCTGCGACGTGTACGGTCCTGTGCACAAGGCAGTCTGTGTTCATGCTCTACACCATGGGGGGCAGAAAAGACATTCCTGAGGAATATTTTACAGCTGAAAACCTCCCACAAGTTCCCAAACACAAAAGGAAAAGGGAGTGGGTGTCGGAAAGCCGAAAGAATCAACCCTGGATTAGTCACTTCAAACAGTATCTGGATTGTCACTCAAAAGCCAAAACTCAGCATCATTATCAGCTTGTACTTAGCCCAGGAGACTCTGAGTTTGTCACTGGGAAACCCAAACTGCTACTCAAAAGATGCAGAGACTGGTACTGGAGGCTGCTACGACCAAGACAAAACCACGAATCCAGCTGCTGACTATAAAGGTTTTAATATCAGTATAAATAGGGCACAGTTACAAAAAACTGCAAGACTGGAGCAATGGAATTTTGACTTAAAAATCTTTTGAGTGAGGCCTTGCTCTTCAGAAACACACATAACACACAGGCTGCCGGGCAGAGGGGAGGCGAGAGCACACATACACCATCTTGCCTTGAACCATTCAGTACAAAAATAGCAGTAGAAAGATGGTCTCTGAATTGCTGGCTGATCCCTTGGTTGTGCCTTAACTGACTGCTAGGGAGAGGCAGATTGCACCTTGCACTGAGCGCAGTTAATGCCCAGAAGAAAGTTTGTCCCCTCTCTCCACCCAGCCACAGCTTCCCCGGCCGAGGTCCAAGCTATAAAAATAAAGATTTCCACTGCTCAGCACTTGCCCCCAGCGGGGATGCTCTGGCGCACGGAGCCGCAGGGCGGGCACGCGGGCTGAGCAGTTTGAAGAGCTGCACTCGGATTTCTTTACATTCGCTGTGCTAGGGCTCGCGAGAGTTCAAGGGGATCTGGCTGCTGCTGTTACAGCTCAGTTTACATCCCTGCCCAGGACAGGCCGCCCTCCCCTTCCCAGTCCTTGTTACGAGCTCTGCCAAGGGTGACGCCGTCTGCGGTGGACACGAATCATTCCGGCGCGCGTCCTGCGAAGGGAGGCAGGGCAGGATAGGACCTATCTCTGCACATGCCTGACGAAGGCCTGCACGAGCTGGAACAAGGGCTCCTGCCCCTCGGGACCCAGCTTGGACGCCGACTTTCCCTGGGGAGAGGGGAGGACCCCACTGGCGGGCGAGGAGGGGCCGCCGCGGCGGAAGTACCGCGACAGGCTGGAGAGCAGCGTACTCTGAAACGAGAAGCAGGGGCGAGGGGGGGCCGCCGCGGCGGAAGTACCGCGACAGGCTGGAGAGCAGCGTACTCTGAAACGAGAAGCAGCCAACGAGTTAGTGACCTCCAGCGCACGCTCCTCTTGTCACCCTGCAGCACAGGGACAGGCAGCAGCGGGTGCAGCACAGGGTGACCTGGGGCTGCGACTCGTGCAGGGGAAGGGGCTGAACTGGGCAGTTGAAGATAAGTGACCTCCAGCCACCAGCCATTCACAGCCAAGAGGCAGGAGGGATGCAAGAAGCTGCTCACCAGCTCAGAGCTGAGCTCCTGCTTCATCCGCTGCTTGTCACGGGGGTGCACAGCTGGGTCCCTCAAATACCGAACGGCCTGGGAGATGAGCAGGTAGAAACAGTTTTCCATTGTAAACATGAGCAGGGACCTGTGCGGAGAAATACGAATCAGCAGGAGCCAGAGATCACCACTGTTCATTTTCAAGGTCATGTACCCTTAGATAAACTTTACACAAAAAGCGCACAGGAGAGTTCACCGTTGCTGTTGAGATTCTGCTCAAGCAGAGATATCCAGAGCTACAATCCGCAGAGCAAAAACGCCCAGTGGCCAACACAGAAGTCCAAGGCCCCAGTAAAACCTCTGAATCTTT